GAAGTATAAGGAAGAATAGACTAGTCTAAATCCTCTGTCAAAGCAGGAATTTTCCCTTCAGAGTATTCACTAGGTTTTCATAGACATTAGGGCTGGAAGGGACCTCGGAAGATCATTGAGTCCAGCCCCCTACTCCAGGGGCAGGAAGTTAGCAGGGATCATAGGATCCCAGCAAAATAAACAACCAAATGTCTCTTGAAGGCATTTAAAGTACCGTATTTTCGCGCATATATCATGTGGGGTACACGCGATTTTACAAAAAAAAAATGGATGGGTGCGGGCTATCAGCGGACTTTTTTTCCCCACGGGGGGCCAGGGCCAGGGCGGGCTGTGCCGCCTCCCTGCTGGGCCCAGGCAGGCCAGGCTATACTGCCGCCACCACCGGGGCCGGGGCCAGGGCAGGCTGGGCTATGCTGCGCCGCCTCCCCGCTGGGCCTGGGCAGGCCGGGTTGCGCCACCGCTGCCAGGGCAGGCCAGACTGTGCCACCGCTGCCCGGGCAGGCCAGGCTGCGCCACCGCTGCCGGGGCAGGCCAGGCTGCACCGCCTCCCTGTGTATACACCACCGCGGGGAATACACGGGTGTGGCGTATACATGGACTTATTTACAAAAATACAATTTTCCATGGCTTATATGTGGGTGCAGCTTATACCTGTGGGCGGGGTATATGTGCGAAAATATGGTAGGTGCTTGAACCACCTCCAGTGGCAGTCTATTCCTAACCTTGGGGGTTCAGACAGTAAAGAAGTTCTTCCTTATGTCCAGCCTGAAACAGTCATGGAGGAGTTTGTGACCGTTCAAACCTTGTCATCCCTTGGGGTGCTCTGGTGAACAGACGTTCCCCCAGATCCTGGTGAACACCCTGGATACACTTATAGGTGGCCACCAGATCACCCCTGAGCCTGTGCCTTTCCAGGCTGAAGAGTCCCATGGCTTTCAGCTTCTCATCATAGGGTCTGTTTTCCTGACCTTTGATCATGTGTGTGGCTCTCCTGTGCATTCTCTCAAGCTTATCCACATCCTTTTTGAATTGTGAAGCCCAAAACTGGATGCAGTACTCCAGCTGCGGCCTCACCAAGGCCGAGTACAATGGGAGAATGACATCCTGGGATTTGCTTGAGAAGCATCTATGGATGCAAGCCAGCGTTTTGCTCGCTTTACTAGCTGCAGCATCACACTGAAGGCTCATGTTCATCTTGTGGTCAATCATGACCCGCAAGTCCCTGTTGCCCGTAGTTGTAGTCAGTGGAGCACTGCCAAGCCTATAAGGATGCTGCAGGTTTTTCTTCCCAAGGTGGAGAACATTGCATTTTTTGGTGTTGAAGGCCATCAGGTTCTCATCTGCCCATCTGCCCAGCCTGTCAAGGTCAGCCTGGATCGCCCTCCTGGCCTCAGTTGTGGACGCTTTACCCCAGAGTTTGGTGTCGTCAGTGAACTTGGTCAGTCTGCTTCTGATACCAATGTCCACATCATTAATGAACATGTTGAAT